CGAGCCAAGGTTCAGGGTCTCGCGGCGGGAACGCGAAAAGTGATTGAAGGAAGGCACGAGATGAAGAGGCGATGCAGTAGTATATGAATGTCACAGGTAGAGGAAGTCGCGTTTGAGCAATGAATGTTTTGCTGCATCTGGTGTTTCAATCATTCGAAGCGCCCAATGCCGCTAGTGAAGGCGGAGCCCTGGGGTGAGTACGCCACCGCTTGTGGCTGAGGGCCGCTTGCAAGGAACTGCTCGAAATAGCTACAAGAGGCGTTCCAACCGTGGGTTCGAGTAAAAGCACGAAGAACAAATCTGCAACTTGCTTCGAGAGTGTGTCCTGAGCAGCGCATTCCAAACTTGAATGCGAAGATTGGTAGGGCTGTCGCATGGTTGGGCCCACATCATTTGGTCCCTGCAGCCGCACTCAGGCACCGCACCTAAATTGGCCTTTTTAAGGTCCACCCGTACGCATAGGTTGAGCCCTCCGACATTTACTGGGTATCTTTCGTCCTGCAATCTATAGCGTGAATAGCAAGCATGCACGATGCTACGTCGTCCAAATCGCGCTGTCCTCCTCGTGTGTAACCTCGCCGTCCGAAGAGGGTAGATCCTCGTGCTCCTCTTTTGTCCAGATCTCGTTCCCAGTCACCACCGGGAACGAAGTCAGGACACGGCTAATGTCTCCCCACCATACTTCGCCAAACCTTCGATACCAATCCACTGTGACCTTCAGACCTTCATCAAAGCTCGTTTTGGGTTCCCAACCCAGCGCGCTCAGCTTGGTCCCGTCCGTCGCATAGCGCTGGTCGTTGAATGGACGGTCTTCCGTGTGCTCGACCCATTTCGACAGCTCGACAGGGGAGTCATGGGATATTTTGAAGACATCCAACAGCCTGCGACATATGTCTGCGTTCGATATCTCGTCCTTTGATGCTATATTGTAGATCTGACCGATGTCGCCTTTGTGAAGTATGGTGTCTAGCGCATCTACAATGTCCCCTGCGTACAGATATCGTCGTGTGGGTGAGCCGTCGCCGTGGAGTAAGAGCTTCTGTTTTCGCTGTAGAAGCATGATGAACTTTGGGATGATTTCTGCACAAGTCAGTAATCTACATCCACTCGGGGGATTGGGATTGCCTACTCTCAGGAAACTGATGCGGCCCATATACATTGTTCGCACGAACGGTGATCAGCGGCAGCTTGAAGCTACTCCTGTATGCGCTGACCATCATCTCTGCCGCTGCTTTACTCGCCGAGTATGGGTTTGTTGGGGCCAGTATGCTGGTCTCGCCCAGGTCTGCCGCCCCGACGGGTACATCGCCGTATACCTCGTCGGTCGAGATGTGTATGAACCTGTTGACGCCATGTTCCCTTGCTCTCTCAAGCAGAACATGGGTGCCATATACATTGGTGTTCGTGAACTCGTACGAATTGCCAAAGCTGAGGTCGACATGCGATTGCGCCGCGAAGTGGAAGAGCGTGTCAATCTTGTGTTTTCGTAGAACGCGCTTTACGTCCGCCGGTGACGTGATATCGCCTTGTTCAAAGGTAAAGTTGGGTCGTTCATCGAGAATCCGCGTGTTGTTCAGCGCAGCGCAGTAGTCCAGCTTGTCGAATGATACGACATTGTAGTGTGGGTATGTGAGCACCAGATGCCGTACGAACCAGCAAGCTCTACTTGTTGGTCAGTTGCGATGCATTATAAGGAAAGGTCAAGAGACGCACAGCTCACAACTTCCCGTGCTCTCGTCGCAACGTACATGAAGCCAGCTCCACCAGTTATCAAGATGTTCTTCGCATCAGGAAGAGGCTCGAAGTTGGTGTTGCCAATGAGTATCGGCGCCTGCTTCCATAGTTCCTGCTTGACATGCGATCTCGCATTGAGAACGGTTGACCTTCGCCGGCCTGGTGCTGTTAGCGTCGGGGTTGGACTGTGCCTTGCATTGCATCGTGCAGGTGCCCAGGTGGAGACTCACGCTTTACGCCATTGGTGCCATTGGGCACATAGTGGGCGCTGTCAGAGTCTTGGCTGGGACCCATCGTGGTGGAAGCTCTTGTCGTCATCTACCAAGAGTCGTCGAACGCTTGCTTGACATGCTCGAGTTTAACATACAATAAGTTGTACTGGTCACGTATGCGCGCGCTGCTGCCGCGTGTCTCGAGCACGAGCGCGATACGGCACTAACCCGACACGGAGACGCATCCGCCATCACGCGTTACGTCATCAAGATCTGGCGAAACTGCCTAGGTGCTCAACACCAGCTGGGCGAGAACCCTGCATCAACACCGCATATGCCCGCATCCCGACACAACGAATCATTAGGCCTTGATACATACCACGCATCGGAGCTTCTTTGAGCGAAGACCAGCCGTTCAGGCTCCGTAAATACCATATCTGCATCACCGAAAGTCGAGCCGAACAACGCTATGCATCGTTTTGAGCGAAAGGCGCATACTCTTCTACCTCAAACCAAGGATCTTCTCCGGCCGATCAGTGGTTTCTGTTCCACGCATTTGTAGTTCAACAGGATCCAGGACAGGAGACATGACAGGGACTGTGTTACACATACCCCGCTTCTCCCCCAGCCCGTCAACACCTATCTACGCGTCTCGTAGCCTTCGCAGCGAATTGGATACGTCGGCGCGATACACATACTGCGGATTACGCATGTCTTTATTTCCGGCTCTCCCGCGAACAGCCAAAGCGGGCTGCCCCACCACGGTAATGTGGGGATGATCCCCAGCCGTAGCATTCGAAAACGAAGCAACGGGTATGATTACGTGAAGGCGCGTGTGTAAGCTTCTCATCTAAACATCATGACCATTGCTGGCACCAAGCTCTCTGCACCCACCAACTTCTCGGTCTACTATTGAGATATTCGCCTATCTGTAACTGCGAGCATGTGGGCTACTTATCTTCTTCTGTCAGGCATCATCGCTCTTATACTAGACTACAGCCGCATGCTGTACCTACGATGGCGAATGGTAATTGCTTACTCCTTTGCCAGCTTCATGTCGGGTATGTCACTAATACGCCAATAGCCTCCAGGACCGTTGCCTTGGCCTATTGTTGGAAACACCTTCAGTCTACCGGAGGAAAAGCCTTGGTATCTCATGGAACAACTATCGAAACAATACAAGTCACCGCTCATCACGTTCTGGATCGGACGGTTAGTTCCGCAGCAGTTCTGCCGTTCTGAACAGTGAATAACACAGCACAGGAGACCGACAGTCTGGATCAATGATGCATGGACTGCAGATGAGCTGCTTGTCAAGCGAGCGAACATCTACAACTCTAGGCCTCGCATGCTGATGTTCGCTGAGCTTATGTCCGGCCAAATGAATCTGCTGCATAAATACACCTACACAAAAGTACAGCGTGAAAGGTTTCGCGACCTCAGGAGAGTTACCCACCAAGGTGTTGGGATACAGCAGGTCAGCGTAACGCAGCTTTCATTGTGTTCTTGCTAACGTTACCAGATAAAACGTCACCGAAGCCTCCAAGACGACGAAAACAAGATAGTGGTATGCGACCTCCTCGAGACTCCCGATAAGTTCGTATCACACTTCGAGCGATACGCTACGAGCGTCGTATCGATCATCGGCTTTGGACGCCGGATTGGAGATATACAAGATCCATTGATCACTGAAGTAATCGCTCAGATGCAGACCTCTGCTAAGATGGCAGTCGTCGCCAAGGATTTCCCGCGATTGATGGAAACCTTCCCATGTAATTTTCGAAGCCACTTACTCAAATCCATACTAACAAAGGCAGGGCTGGCCAAGTTTCCGGATTGGATGGCTCCCTGGAAGCGTGATACTCGCCGTTCAGCAAAGCCCAAATACGGCCGCAATGATTTCTTCTATGCTTTGGCTGAAGAAGCCAAGCAATGTCCAGAAGAGAACTACTCCAAGTACCTGTTTCGCGAAGCACCTCACCTCAATCTTCATCCTCTCGAAATCTCCAATCTCGCCGCCAACCTACTCGGTGCTGGAGCGGACACATCAAGTAGCACTCTACAGACAGCTGTTCTGGCCATGCGCGCATTCCCTGAGACCCTTGAACCCGCTTGGGAAGAGCTCGACCGTGTAGTAGGTCGAAGACGAAGTCCGACGCTCGATGATGATCTTCCATATCTCCGCGCTTTCGTCAAAGAAGTCTTTCGCTGGCGTTCAGTGGCGGTTATAGGAGGTACTGCTCATGCACCTACCCAAGATGACTACTACAACGGCTACTATATAGCGAAGGGGACCTGGGTGCAGGGCAACGTCTGGGCGATACATCACAACGAGCGCGAGTTCCCCGATCCTGATCGCTTCAATCCTAGGAGGTTCCTCGATACGGATGATAAGAGACCGTTTCCCGGAGAGAAAGGATACATGACTTTTGGATGGGGTAGAAGAAGCTGTGCTGGTCAAGCATTGGCAGAGCAGGGTACGCATCTCAGTATCGCGCGATTGGTGTGGGCATACAAGGTGGAGCCAGAAGTGGACCCAACGACGGGAGAAGAAGTGCCTGTTGACATCTTCAATTTCACGTAAGTTTCATTGCCAGGATCCGAGGCTATTCAGCTTCATTGGTGTTGACGACTAGCAGGAGCGGATCGAACTGGCGGCCCCAGCCATTCAAAGTCAAGTTTACACCCAGACACGAAGAGATTAAGCAAACCGTTATCCGAGAGGCGCAGCAAGCACGGCAAGATCTGGCGAAGTATGACCGCGAAACCAAGTACAAGTTCAGCACGTTCTACGAGTAGAAATTGGCTGAGATACGATGTCATTCATGGATTGTATGCATGCGTCGACTCGCGAGGTCGATCAACTCTCGAAATGGCAAGGTGTCGGGCATCTCCATACAGCTTTGCATAACACCCCTGCCAGTGCGGAGAAGACATGGGTTTCTCCTCACTGCCCCACGATGCTAACCTCGCCTGACTCGCATATCTCGCCGTATAAGGCTGCGAACCCTTCTTTTCGCAGATGAGCACCGGTCAGTCCCTGCGTGAGCAATAATGGCAAAGCTTAAAGAGACATCCTTGTGGGCGAACCGCAAATGCTTACTAACATGCTCCGCCGTCGCTATTGCTAGCATGCAGTACGGGATTGATACTGCTGCAGTTGGCGGTCTGCAGGCGATGCCTGGGTTTTTGATGGTGTTTGGATATGAGGACCCGACAAGCCCGCTTGGCTATGGTATTGATGCAAGTCCACATAGCCTATGACATCGCGGAAGTTACTGACGCGCAAGATAGTCGACGGTGCAGCAGCTCATGACCTCTTTGCTAAATCTGGGTTCGTGCGTATCTGCCATTGCTGCTGGTGTGTTTGGTGCCTACTTCGGTCGCAGGAAGGCCTTGTGGCTCGCATGCATCATATGTCTGGCTGCAGTTTCGGTACAGATTGGCTCTACCTCCAAGGCCGGTTTATACGTGGGTCGTCTGTTGCTAGGCTTCTCCAACGGCTTCTTTGTCGTATTCTCGACTGTTTACTGTAGCGAAGCAGCACCGGCGCATCTCCGGGAGTAAGTCTTCGGGTGTCTTTGCGGACGATAGATATACTGACAGTTGGCAGAATCATGGTCGGGCTCTTCTCTTTCTACGTGAACCTTGGAAGCATCATCGGCTCTATCATCGACAACTACACTTCACGCTACCTCTCGAAACTCTCCTACCAAGTCCCCCTCGCCTGCATGTTCATCGTCCCGGTTCTACTCGGCACAGCGCTTTTCTTCGTCCCCGAGAGTCCGCGATGGCTTTTACATCGTGACCAACATGATGCGGCGCGCAAGTCTTTGGAGCGTCTTCGTTTCGACCACGGCGAAGAGCTAGAGTTGGAGTGGGCGGAAATGATTCGTGGCGTAGAAGAGCGCAGACTGAGTCAAAGCTCAGGCTTCTTGGATCTCTTCCGCGGCAACGACCTGAGACGCACGCTACTCTGTTGGGGCACGATCGCAAGCCAGTCTGCGAGTGGCGTCTGGTTCTTCATCGGTTATCAGACCTACTTCCTCGCCATCGCTGGTATTACGAAAGCCTTCGAGTACAGCATTATGAACTCGTGCATTGGCTTCGTGGGCGTTCACCTTGGTCTTTACTCCATGAACAAGTTGTTTGGCAGAAGGACGATCATGATCGCTGGGGCAATAGCATGCGGTCTTTGCGAGCTTGCTTGCGGGATCGCAAGTAGTGTCAAACCTAACTCAGTGGAGACTGGAAATGTGCTAGTAGCTTTTACGGCACTGTTCCTGTTTTGCTACAACGCCGGGGTGGGCGTTGCGACAAGCCCCCTGGCGACAGAGCTTGTTAGTTCAAGACTGCGAGCTTGGACGGTTGGCAGCGCGAATGCGCTTGGATACTTCCTCGCTTGGTTGATCGGCTTTTGCTCGCCATACTTTATTAACCCTCAGGATCTTGACTGGGTGAGTAAGCATGTTTTCTGTTCTCTATGACGCTAACACGATCGCAGGGCCCGCAATACACGTACATATGGGCAGCTTCCAACTTCATTTGTGTGGCCTGGTTCTACTTCTTCCTTCCGGAGACGAAAGCGCGATCGTTAGAAGAGCTGGATGAGATCTTCGAAGCTAGAGTGGCGGCACGAAAGTTCAAGCTGTATGAGTGCAGGATTGTGGAGGATGCCAAGCATGATGTTTATGGGAAGGAGACTGTTGAGACAACAAAGCAAGCTGCTTGACAAACTACATATATGTCTTTCGTAGGTATCAGTTACTACGCATCTATTCCTGCTCATCATCGTGAGGTACTTTGATCCGAACCCTCACAATCTCATCAGCGATCGTGGACGGGTCGTCTGGCGCGGGGAGTTCATAGGACATTTTCCATCCCAAAGAGGGCAAGGCCAGTACTTGTTCATGAGTCCGATCGGGATGCCAATGCGACTCCTGGAACCAGTCTGAAATCCATTGCCACGGGATCAATGCTTTCTCATAGCTCGTAAAGTCAGTCGTGGCCTTGTAGGTTTTCTCACCGATTGTAAAGATAGGGGATGAAACAGCGGGAGGATCGTCGCTGTGGAGAAACTTTGGAACAGCAAGACCGCTGACATCTGTGTAGCTCATTGGTGCCTTGCCTTGGTCAGCAATGAATTGGACAAATCGGACAGAACGCTCGCCGAAGACTGACCGCTCCCAAGAGAGACCGCATTCGGGAGATGGAAGAACCCTGGCTTCTTCCTCACTAGCAAAAGCTTCGCGCGTTTGACCTCGAAGGTCCGCGCACTTGAAGTCCGGGAACTTGTCGAGACAATGTGCCAGCTCATGAACCAGGACGACAGCGAGAAGAAATTGAGGACCCAGGTTTTGTACAATCGGTGGTGCCGCAGGCTCAGAAGTAATTGGAGTAGCGACTTTGGGACTCGGGTCGAGCAAGTTGCGGAATAATGAGTGCAATAGCACACAAGGGCTGGTTTGTTTCAAGCCTCCCGGGCGATATCGCCAATCCGAACCCATCGCATCATCGCACCAAGCTACCATACAAGAACGTATCTTGGTCTCTAGATCGATTTTAGGCCAGTTGGAAAGCCCCAAGATATCGTTATGGCTTCTGTCCTTAGTCGCGTACGCTGTGTACGCCGTTCGAAGGTCTTTGAACGCGAAGGTTAATCCCATATCCATGTCTTTCGGTGTACGGTCGGATGCTTGCACCTTCCAGGTCAAAACGCTAGCTAAGTTGCGAAGCTTCTCCTTCCAGTCGGCCATCAAGACGGATGGGTGTTCGTTCTGAGAGGTCGAGGTGTAGATAAGTGGTGGCGGGAAGTCTGCTGCGAAGGTTTTGGAAGGTGAGGTCGTGCTTCTCATTTGATGCCAGAAATATTGCAGAACTCGTTCATCGCTTACGAATCGACTGGCAAGCTGTAGAGCAGGCTTCATATTATCGTACATGTTCTGTGAGACGCCAATGAACCGGTCGCGAACGAAGATTGGTGCGATCTCGTTGCTGAGACTACTTGTACTTGAAGTGACATTGAAGAAGCCTTGTTCTTGTAGATAGTGAACCGCTTCTTCGCGCACATCATCGACATGGCCTTTGAACTCGTGCATGGGTAATGAGATACGAACGATTTCGCTACGTTCTTCTGGATGCTTTAAGTATGATATGGTACGTGCTTGCTATTAGCAAAGCGTGGGCCTCATGTGCTACCCTACTCAGAGTGAATTCGATGATTGCTCTACAGCAGCTCATTTTGCCACGTCACATGACAAGAAAGGGATTTGAAAAATCGTGCATGTTGAATGCCTGGGTGCAATCTACTGATTTGCATTGCAATATTGTCTTTATACCAGGTTTATATGCGTGTAGATCGGTAAATGTCTCCTTCTATATCCGTAACAGGTTCCTGACTAAAGCCACACCAAAATGCCGAGCGTTGCAGCTACAGCTAGAACTGTCGCGCCAAGCGCGGGTTCACGCAAGTTGTTTGCGGCCGCGTCTTGTTTAATTAGCAAGCTGTGGTAGCAGTACAGAATTAGATGAGACGGATACATACCTTCGACATCGGGAGTCTCCGTTGCTTCAGCGCCATCCTCTTCAGACTCAGTGGTGGAAGGCGACGCCTCAGTGGTTTCGGGCGTCTGAGTCTCTTGGGAATTAGACGGTGTCGATGCGATTCCGGTGCTGGATGATGATATCGTATAAATCGAACTCGCCGCAGACAAGACTAGACACGGCCCACCGAGGAACGGATAGGACGTGGGGGCCATGTCATTGACACAGTCGAAGAACTCGTTTCCGTCGTCCACCTCGCACCACTGAGTGCAGTCATTCATGACACGGACCTCGGCATCGCTGTTGCAGCAGGATGTGATGTTGACATCGTTCGGAGGAACGTTGACCTGACAGATCTGACCTGTGAGTCCCGTAGTGTTGAGACCATTGGGAGCGATGCCTGGAGAACAAGAGGTGGGTGTGGGCAGGGCTACGCTCGATGGGATCGGAACGAGTTCTGATGCGATCGAAATGGGTGTTGAAGTCATGGTGTTGGGGAGAGGTACAGTCTCTACAGTGAATGCTGAAGTCATGATGTTGATGAGAGATTTAGTCTCCGTAATGAAAGCGGCAATTTGGAATGAGCGAAGTAAGAAGGCGAACAGGAAGAGCACGATACGTGGTAATGCTCAAGTATACCTAGGTAGGTAGCAGCGATGCAACAAACGCAACGTCATCTGTCATACTGGAAGCCGACCGACCCGGAACCTTGGTACATAGCCAAGACAGAATAAGGCAGAATCAACAGAAAATCACCCTTTGATGTCTCAGTGCATCGCCGCCTGGGTGCGCGCCAAGAGCGGGGGCGGTTAGCGCGGCACTACTGGCGCCTTCAGGTACCCGTGCCTCTTACACCTCTACTTCCAGTTATCCGGCAACCTTGACGATACGGTACGCCCCGTTATAGCGACGCAAAATGATGTTACTGGTGCGGATTCGGAGAGGGGTAAGATTGTCGTGGCTTTCGCATTGTTGACAAGGTCACAGCACCAGCAAAGCTCACGGCCATTGCATGGATCTCACCAGACACGTCGTCAGCGAAAGGCTTACATCTATGATCGAAGTTGTTCTCACAACGGTTTATCGGAACGAGTTGATTGGAGGAAAATAAGTGTACCTGAACCACCATTGCTTTCCGCGACACGTCCAAACTTTGCCGTTACTGAAGTACCTATTCTGTCATACTTATTTCCCAGGCTTTCAATCGACTCGCTAGCTCCGAGATGACATCTTCGGGACCTGTTGATAGGGCTTTTTCTAGTTCTCCCCCGACTAGAGGTGTATCGGGTGCAGGCAGCGGTGTTCCGAATCCTCCTATATTGGGAAAATGATCCTGATGTGCATTCCGGACTGGTGAGTCGGCTTCATCAGAAGGTGATGCAGATGCTGCAGAAGAACCAGAAGACGAAGGCTCCACCCGAAGACGATAAGTGGACTTCGTCAGCTCATTGAACCCATCACCAGCTGACATGGGGGTTTCGGCATCGGTGAGCTCGCTCATCGTCCGAGCATCTGAGTGATCGCGAGCCCTAGTAGTGAGAGACTCTGACATGCTACTAGTAGGGGTTGGTGCCGCAGGTGGATCAGCATCAGAGTCGGTTCGTGACGCTTCCGTGGTATCCGACTGTCGGACTCTTAGTAAAGCTAGGTATGGTCAGCGTTTCTCAATTTGCGACAGTGCTGGATGTTTAGCATTAACTACCTTGAGAAACCATCAGTGCAAGAATTAAACGTGCCGGCAATTCTGTCGGGGGGGCTGGTCGCGCTACTTTGGATCAGCAATGTATATCAAAAGTTTCACCAGTCTTGTACTGACTAGACGGCCCTTCTTCTGCGGGCATCTTTATCTTTACTTGTATGTAACGGGCGTGCTGCATCATACGTCCAATTTTCGGCACCACGCCTTTCCGAGCTCTTTCCTCTACATCCCTGGCGGCGACGGGCCCGCGGACTCCTGAGTAGTTGTAAGACTTCCGTGGTCAAATTGGGAAATAAGACTAAAAACGCGTACCCAACTTAGCTTCAAAACTGGCCTGAGCGTTTTCGACTCGTATAAGCTCACTCTCTTTCTCCTTGATCATCCGAGACAGGTTAGTGTTACCAAGCTGCTCAGCAAGCTCCACTGCTGTCCAACCTATTGTTCTGTCTATGAAAGGATTGGCACCTCTCTGAAGTAGCTCTTCCACGATTTTAAGTCTTCCGTATATCACGGCGAGCTGCAGGGGGGTTTCTGACGCATGTTCCATACCATTCACATCGATACCCTTCTCGATGAGCATCAAGGCAATCTCCTCCTCTTCTTTCGTGATGTCCATTTCTACTGCATTGCTGAGGACCAAGGCCGAGGATCTTTGCCTGTTGAGTTTGCTTTCCTCTGAGTCACTGTTCTGTAATAGTTCCTCCAGGAATCTCTCCTCGGATCTTCGGGCGTGTTCGAATGCCACTCTGTCGATTCTGCTCTGTGGGGGCGGTTCGTTGTTACGATCGTTTGATTTGATGCGCAACATCAACAGTGTCACGAGGATGTTTCCGAAAGCAGATCTTTTGTCCAACTTGATCTGAACCTTCATGTACGGCCTGAGCAAGATCATGTCCAAGGCAGTCTTTCCGCTGTAATTAGTAGCATTCACATCCGCACCCCTTTCCAAGAGCATTTTGACAGCCACTACATTAGCAGATCTGGCGGCAACATGAAGAGGCGTTTCGTTCTTTTCCTTCACCGATCTCAGATCAATGTGGGATGGATCGGCATCCAGAAGACTTTCAACTGCCATGTTCATGTGCCAAATGACTGCCAGATGAAGATTCGAGATAGCTTTCCGCCAGCCATCGATGCGTACTGAGACCGGCCTTTGCAACACCTTCGCCGCAACGAGTTGAAGGGTACCGAGAGGTAATTGGTCTTTCTTGCTTAACAGCTCCAGTAATTGCGGCAGGATACTTGCATCTTTGTCTCTTCCAACACATGCTGCAGCATGGTCCCCAACATGCCGCACTGCATAATGAAGGAAGGGATAGTTGCTCTCTCGTTGAGCTTCAGAATCGCAAGTGTCCTGGAAGCTCGGCAGCTGAATGTAGTGCAAGCAGATCTCGGTGAGATGCTTCTCTTTTCCCTGAAATCGTTTCGCGTAGACGTCCTCGTGATAAAGATACTGGTGAACTGTTTGGTGTGCTAGCTGAACCTCATCATCCCGGATGACCACAAGTCCTTGTGTGCGCTTTCTCAGATCATCCCCATGTGCTATTCTAGGACCAAGTGATTCCAGGGAAGCATCGCCCAAGCGAAAAGCGAGCGCATATTGAAGTTCACGGAGCGTCAAACGGCGTTTAGCGTGAAGAACAGTACCCAAGATGTCCATTCCAGTCAGTGGTATGACTTTTGAGTTAGGTTTCCAGGTCTTGGATTTCGTGATGTTGATTATTCGTTCTACGGCTGTTTTATACACTTCTACGACACTGTTCGGCAGATTCTCTAGAGCTTCCTCAAGTTCCTCTTTGGTAGCGTATCGCCGGATTTCCTGTAGATGCCAAAACGGAAGCAGGAACCTGTGAGTAAGGTCAGCAAAGATCTCAAGCACCCTCAGCGAAAGCCTGTATCTTACTGTCCTTGTGCCCTCTCTACGATTTCTTTGACAACGTGAACTCGCAAAGGTTTGTCGTTTTTTAGCAGCGTTGACAATGCGAAGTCGTCTTCCCGTAGCGAATTTCCCACATACAGTTCGATATCCTTCGCGGTTGGTATGAGTTCGTACTTCAAATGTATAGCCTCGGCTCCGTTATAGAGAGCCAAGCTATTCGGACGTGATGTGACGAACATGCGACAGGTGTTGACGCTCTCAAGTGCAAGCCTGAGAGTATCAAAGATCTCTATGGTATCGTGGAGAAAGTTCTCATCTCCTTTGCTATGCACATACTCATCGAGACCGTCCACAACGATGAAGGTCTTTTCGTAAGTTTGGGCGAGCTGTTGGAGGAGTATTGGGAGTACTTCTTGGCACTTCCCTGTGTCCATGGGCTCATCATCTTGTGTGAGGTAAGTCTTTTCGATCTCCTTAGGCACATCCTCCTCTTCTGGGCCACTCAGAAGCCACACAGCCTGTTTTATGAGGCTCCTCAACAAGAATGCCTGCGTCTGCTTGACTCTGCTTGTGTACTCACAATACAACAGCAACACCGCCGCTTGGGACTGCCATTCGAGTTTTATGTGGGTGATAACTTGAGAGCTGGCTTTTTTAGGTTCGCATCTTTTGTGTGGTAGTCTCGCTTACGTTAAGATTGTCTTTCCAACGCCAGCTACAAACAGATCTGATCAGTAATGCCGAAGTCATATTAAACGAATAAGATTAGACGACTTACGATTACCATAACACCACAAGATTCGAGACCAGGATAAACCGGTGGCGGAGAGCCATGTCGTAAAGTCTGGTGATTGGAGGAAGTCTTCGTTTGTACCCTCACAGTAGCGATCAGTGCATTGCTTGTGCTTCTCGAGGAATGTCTCGGAAGACAACCATTTCATAACCTTCCTGAAAAGAACTTTGACGAGTCACTGATTTCGTTCGTAGGACTAACATGCTCTACCAGCCTTACCTGGATTTTTCGTCGGTTGTGACACAAGGATGATTTGCGTCGAGTTGGCCTCTGCGGTGTTACCTTCGATGTGCGCAGCCGCCGCCATTGCACAGAGCTGGTGAGCTGTTGAACGTTGTCGCCAGCGTTTCAAATCGTCTACGAGAAGCTGGTATTGTAGAATGCGCTGATGATCTCATGATCAGCTGGGGAAGAAGTGGCGTCCTGATTCACCGGTGGGTGGCGTGATTGTTAACAGAGATATGAGGTATACCATTGGGCCGCAGCTGAGCAGCTTCCTGCACCGGGCTGACGAAGCGAGGCGCATTCTTTGTCCTCTTGTCGAGTGGACGAACATCATTGGGTCGCACCTGGGCTGCTTTCTGCACCGAACCGGTGAAGCGCGGCGTATTTTTGCTCTGCTTCCAAAACTGTGAATGTCATCAGGCCACTCCAAGGTCCGTTTTATCAGTATATGTCTGAGCACCTATCCTTCATACGATGACCTACGCAATTTTTGAGGTTGCGACTTTGCACTGAAGGGATGGCCGATCCAATCAGCATCGCATCTGGTGTTATCACTCTTGCTGCTTTTGCTTTCCGTTCCAGCGTTTCACTCTATCAAGTTGTCGAAAGCTTCCAAAGATCGTCAAAAGAGATACGCGAGCTGGCGGAAGAGTTGACCGGGTTCCAGAACGCCACAGATACCCTCCAAAACATTGCATCCACGTACGAATCGCGTTTCAGTGCTCTCAGTCTCACCCTAATTTACTGCGGTGAGACTTGCCAAGAATACCAAAAGCTCATCGAAACTTGCTCCAAGCATTCAAAAGACTCGAGATCAAGCGTCAGAGACTGGGCCAGGCTACAATACAAGGGAGATACCATCCATGACTTCAAGGAAAAGCTCGCTTTGTACAGGAGCACCATCACAATGGCTGTTACCAGCGAGACCTTGTAAGTGTACTCCAATCGGTCTCATAATATTATTCGTACACTTACAATTTGGCGGACAGACGCACCACTGCCTCGACCACAGTCGAGGTTCAAGACGTGAGGAAGCAGCTTGAGGGAATGATTGAGGAAAACAGAAACGAGCTCAATGATGCACTTCAGATCATGACATCGAGGCTGGAACTCGCAAGCGAAGGGAAGAACGCAGAGGAAGACGTTTCCGATGACCAGAAACGACAGTCCGCTGAGGTTCAAAGCATCAAGGATTGTCTCGCAGTATGCTCAAAGGCTTCGGAGCGTCTCAAGCAAGCTGGGGACCATGAGTATGAAGACGTGATCGTTGATCGCGCAGGAAAACAGATCATCGTGTCCACGACAGGCGGCAAGCTAACGGCAAGGCGAGTGAAATGTGCCGTGGATGCCAGTCAGGTGCTGGGGGCAATGTCATCAGCTGACCTCGAGCGAACACTTAGCTTCTTACCTACTGGTTCGGACCGAACGACAGCTCAGCAAAATCAGTCTCGGTTCAGCACGCCTATCCAAGACGTCTGCGAGCTGGGTGGCAAGCCGGTGGATCGTCGCGGATAGAGTGTCATCGATCAGAATATGATGGAGTTGTGTGCTTCGGTGTTCATTTGTGTTTCGGTGGCGGGACGAAATGGCGGATATCATACAAGCTTGCTTATTCTTCTCCATGATGCGCCCTGTCTTACTAGATCCAATGTGAATGGGATAGCAATTAGAGTGATATATGTGACCACTAGCGAATCCTCGTAGTTGTATGTTGTTGTTCTCTTCTGTTTGTAGATAGCAAGACGTCCTTTTTCGCCGGAGCGGTAACCCTGGATACTTGTGGAACGCGACACTGGAAATGGAAATCATGAACTGCACCATGGCGAGGCCATTGGCGTCTCGATTGAAGGCTAGACTAAGCCCGTTGTCGTTTGCTCCTACGTGTGGCCTCTTGCTTTACCGTGACCACTGGCTGCTCCTCCTCGGGCTCCTTCTTTATGCGCTTTCGCTTGACAATCTCCTTCTTGACTGTCTTATGCAGAACAATGTCCTCCTCTTCTTTCTTTATCATCACCTCCTCTTCTTTCACCTCGACCTTCGCAACGACCCTATCCGAGAATGCCTTCAGATCCGCAGTGAACAAGACGGAATGCGCCCATCCAGCTTCTTTACCCCACAGCTTCCGAAAGAGGTTTCCAATCGCAGCGTATGTGGCGGCGGTCAGGCTGCTGTGCTTGCCCTTGCCGAACCTGTAGTCCTTCTGTGCAATCTGCCAGACATGGGTGTCGACGGGTACAGACTCGGACCAGCCGAGCCCAAAGAGACACACACAGTCTGCGACCTTGGGACCCACGCCGTGGAGGGCAAGAAGCTCTTCGTGCGCTGAACGGTATCCTTCTCGACCACCTTCGAGCATCTCTCCGGCGGGCTTCTCTTCCATGCCAAACTGCGGACACTCGGGATTGCTCAGGTCCTCCAACCACTCCAAGCCTTTGTCCTCGGAAACCATGCGCGCAGTCTTCGCAATGTACTTGGCGCGATATCCAAACCCAAGCTTCATGAGATGCGCTTCGACGTCGGGGCCTGAGAGGGCATCGGGTGTGGGGAAGTCGTGGTAGGGTATGTCGTCGATGGTGCCTATATGTGGTCCGTAGTGCAAGCAGAGATTGTGTACCATGCCCGATATGCGACTGATATTGTTGTTGCTACTGCATATAAAGCCGATCAGGGCCTCCCAAGCGTCTTGTCGCAGAATCCTGATACCCGTGAACTTGGGTGCGCGCTTCTTGAAGTTGGCGTCGGAGGCTGCCCATTGCTCGTACAGCTGGCCAAGATTGGGCGCGAAGTTGAAGTAGTGCTTTATGAGAGCAGCGGTGTCGTCTTCTTCGGGGGCGACTGAGGGCGCTTTAGACGGAGGCGGAGTAGGGAGAGCGGTGGTGACAGGTGGGTAGGTCGCGCGGTAGTGGAGATATTCGGCATCCTGACGGAGGGACAGTATGCGACCATGAAGGGCCATGGACCACACGTCATCAGCTGACTTGCGCCATCTGGTCGCACGTTAGGAAGTGTTGCGACTCGAGTACTGGGGACGTGGGGAGATACCTGAATGATTGCCCACATCGCAAGGTAGTGTTGATGCATAGCTCAGTGAGGCTTGTAGGCAACTTGTGCCATTCAGCGGCGCGTAATGCCATTGTCGTTATAGTCGTGGTCTGCGCCAGGAGTGAATGATGCATCCTGGGCTGGGTCTAGCCTCGATGACAGGGGTAGCCGCGCCAAGGGAACGGCACGCTAAGGCAGGCCCCGACTTTCTCTCACACGTTTTCCGCGACGGCAACCGCAACCACCGCACAAGCATCGCGTCCTAGAGCCCGGACAGTTGCGAGCTGCTGATTCATCCACTGTTCCTTGATCAGATCTGCTAATTGCAGCTTCTCCCGCCATCTCACTCCCGTCAGCAGCAGCATCTTACGCGGCTGAACACCCGACGGCGCAAGAGCTCCTAGCACCCACACCCGCCCACCATGAACGGCGATAGCTATTCCAGAGGTAAGCGAGTCTATCAGTACACGTACTGACTAGTGCACAGCTCCCAGAACCAAGACTAACATAAGCAGACGGTGGCCGATCCAGCGGATCGCGCAACTACGTGAGTGCCGACACTCGTCGCGACAAAAGCGAGCGTACGCTGACAGAACAGTCCTCGAGAGATGACCATCGCGATCGCGGCGAACGGGGCGACCGTGGTGGCGACAGGCGCCGCCGTCGTTCTCGCTCCCCACGCCATGGCGGAGGCTCCCGCCGCGACTACGAGGTAGACACGTACTCTTCCAGCCGCGACTACCGCGAGCGCGAGCGCGAAGACACATACGCCCGCCGTGAGCGTCGCGATGACCGGGGCGAGCGTGGAGCAGAGCGTGGTGCCGAGCGCGGTGCCTGGGGCGATTCCTACTCCCGACGCGACCGACCTCGAGGAGGCGACCGCGACCGCGACGACGACCGTGGCCACCGACGGGAACGCGGAGACCGCAACGAAAGGGGCGGCGACCGATTCGGAGGCGAAGAGCGCAGAGGCGGACGAGGAGGACGCGATGGAGGCTTTGGCGGCGGACGTGATAGGATGCGTGCGCAAAAAGAGGAGTCTCCGCCATTCAACAAGCCGCGCGAGGCTACCCCCGATCTCACTACCTTCACCAACATCCAGAAGCGCGAGCGTCGCATGACGCAATGGGACATCAAGCCTGCAGGTTACGAGAACATCACCGCCGAGCAGGCCAAGCTGTCGGGCATGTTCCCGCTGCCGGGAGCTCCTCGCGCTGCACCCATGGACCCGTCCAAACTCGCCGCCTTCATTTCGCCCTCCGCAGGAACCGCCACCGCTGCTGCCCTTGCGACATCCGGCGCGAAGCAATCGAAGCGTCTCTATGTCCACAACCTGCCCCAGGGCTGCACTTCCCAAGAGATTATGGAGTTCTTCAACAACCAGCTCAACGGTCTCAATGTCGTATCTGGCAACGACCCCTGCCTGTCTGCCCACATCGCTACGAGCAAGGAATACGCTGCATTGGAGTTCAAGGCAGCCGAAGATGCGACCCTCGCGCTCGCTATGAATGGCATTTCCATGCGCGATGACGGAGGCGCACCTGATAGGTCGGGTCTGTCTATCCGCCGTCCCAAGGACTATATTACTCCCACCGCCGACGAGAACGCATACCCACCTGGCGATGAGGTTTCATCTGTTGTCAAGGACAGCCCGAACAAGCTGAGCATCGTCAACATCCCCACATACATCGAAGAGGAGCAGATTCGAGAGCTCGTCGAGACTATGGGCAAGCTCAAGGCCTTCACTTTGGTCAAGGATACTGGTACCGACCAGCACCGCGTAGGCATCCTCCTAACCCACTGAACCTACTGAACTAACACAGCCCAGGGTATTGCATTCTGCGAGTATGCTGACAACGGAGTCATCGACGCCGTCATCGAGGGTCTCAACGACATCCCACTCGGCGATGGTAACCTCAAGGTTTCGCGCGCAACTGTCGGACTTCAGCAGACGACTGGTCTCGACGGTGGAGTTGGAGCCATCTCAATGTTGGCAGGAGCCAGCGCTGCTGAGAACCACGAGCACAGCCGTGTCATCTGCCTGATGAACATGGTCACCTCGGACGAGCTGCTCAACGATGATGAATACGAAGGTAAGCTCGGCAACATCACATGAAACATTGCGCACTTCTAACATCAAACAGAAATCAAGGAAGACATCGAAGAGGAGTGCGGCAAGTACGGACCCATTATCGAGACCAAGATCCCCCGCCCCGCTGGTGCCCGCGTCAACCTCGGTGTTGGCAAGATCTACATCAAGTACAAGGACACAGAGTCTGCGCAGAAAGCTATCAAGGCGCTTGCCGGTCGTCAGTTCTCCCGGAGAACGGTTGTCGCGACAGAGTTCTCTGAGGAGGGCTTTGACGTTGATGCCTGGTAGATATGAGATTGTTTGAGTTGCGCGTTCGACTTCTTCGGGTCTGTGCAGTTGCACGCCATTATTGCCGCGTTGAGGAGTACCAAAAAGGGAGAGTGAAGCTCAGCATTTGTACACTAATTTGGTTCCAGGGGATGTTAGCATGCCCATCGCTGAGATGGTACGAGGATGTGATCGTATCTTGAATACCTAGGCTAGAGTGCCAGTTGCGCTCAAAGTAGCTTGCCTAGATATCACACCGCATTGTTATTGCACTCGATGAATTTGCCATGTGAACACTGTTTACCGATAAAGCAAAGTGGTGGCCGTAACCGCTGGGGCACTGTTGGACCGCCCGTGAGATGATGATGAATTGGGGCTAATTCCGCGTTAATGCCGTAGCTGCCGTCACTAAGCCCGACGCTACTGAAGATCACAGAATCGTTTGGTCCGTCACGGTCCTGTGTGGTTCGTCGCACTCCACAGTAGCTTATTTTGGCGTGAGTCTCAAGGATGCTGCCTAGGAAGGTCTGGAACTCGGTGATATCATATCCCAAGAATACACCCTCTCGGTGCGGGACGGAGAGATTGAAAGCGAACCCCCGCGTGCCGTCAAGGTGCGCGCTTGCCCTAGTCAAGCGCGACCTTCAAGCCCACCGTGATATCACGACGTTAAAAGCGCAAGAGCGCCCTCAACATCGAAAAGCTTCATCACCTATTCCGACCAATACCTCCCACGCTCGTAGCCCGTCAATCATCATGGCTAGTATTAGGCGCTTCTTCTACTCCCAACTTTTTGTTACGCCACCCAAGCCCACCGGCGACCTAACTGGCAAGACTGTCATCGTCACTGGCTCTAATGTCGGTCTTGGAAAGGAATCCGCACGTCACTTCACCCAGCTCAACGCCTCCACCGTCATTCTCGCCGTGCGCTCCATTGAGAAAGGCGAGGCAGCGCGCAAAGACATCGAATCTACCACAGGCCGCAACAATGTAGTCAAAGTCATGCAACTCGACATGTCATCCTACCAGTCCGTTCTCGATTTCGCCCAGAAAGCAAGCAAAGAGCTAGAAAGGGTGGACATCGCAGTTCTCAACGCCGGCGTAACCCGCGCCGCGTGGGAAGTCTTCGAACAAGACGAGTCTACCATCACCGTGAACGTCGTATCTACCTTCCTGTTGGCTTTTGCGTTGTTGCCGAAGCTCAAGCAGACGGCAAGCAAGTTCAACACCAGACCCACGCTTACCATTGTGAGCTCCGAGGTCCACGAATGGGCGACTTTCGACGAGAGGAAAGCACCCGAGGGCAAGCTCTTCGAGAGGTTGAACGAGAAGGTTGTTAATGGGAAGGATGTTAGCCTGAACAACCGGTATCAAGTTAGCAAGCTACTCGAGGTACTCTTTGTCCGCGCGTTCTGCGAGCGATACCCCGAGTCGCAAATCCCAGTCACCGTCAACCTTGTCAACCCTGGTTTCTGCCACTCGTAAGTCTACCGTACACCCCTTCACTAATTGTCTTATGCTGACCGGTTAAAGTGAATTCGGTCGCGAAAATGGAATTGCCGTCGCAATTGGACGCTTTTTGCTTGCGCGGAAAACGGAAGTCGGGTCGAGGACTCTCACGCACGCTGGTATTTCAGGTGTTGAGACGCACGGCAAGTATCTCAGTGATTGTGAGATTACGGAGCCGAGTCCTTATGTGCGGAGTGAGGAGGGTAAGAGAGATCAAGAGAGGGTTTGGAAAGAGCTGGTGGCGAAATTGGAGGGTATCAAGGCCGGGATTACAGAGAGCTTTTAGGGCGGTGATACAATGAATTGACTTTCGAACTACATGAGCTGCAGTCAGTGACGTACAGAGCTCACTTCGACTGGCACAGACATTCTTGGTTGGGTATTTTCGCCTGTGTTTTTGAGCTAACCCCCTTGCTAAGTCCTGACATTCACCAGTTCTACGCACACACACGCTCAACTGAGAGCTCAGGTCTATAGCTATGGCCACCGGTCTGAATACTGACCATCGGGTACTTATTGGAGGAAATGAGCTGGTTGGAACGTTTGGATGGGGTGGAGAAGTGGGTTAGGTGTTACTTTGATCGGTTGCGAACGCACAGGCCTGTTTGGGAGTTCGAGGAGTAATCATACAGTCTTCGAGCTTAGCGGTATTAGTGCAAAGTATGTTGTAGGGCCGAAGTCTTGCAACGAAGGCTTTCATGTATTGCACTCGGCTACCGATCACTACATGTAAATTATCAACACTCCTGCTTAGTCGCACTTTACAGTGGTCTCTCTGACAGCTGCAGTACTTCAAAGATCGATCTCAGTCGCAGGTCTAGCAATGTTGGCACGCCAGTGGTGCGCGTTTATCGCGTTCTTCTGGTAGACGTTGACTTCGAAGAACTTATTGTGAGCCGCACACTTGAAGTTCTTGAACCTATGGCAGTGTTAGAAATGGCCTTTTGCGCCTATTTCCTTGTTCTTACGTGTTCAGCTTTTCGAAGTTCGCATCGACAAGCCACTGCTCAGTCACCTCGACGAAAGCACCATCAGAGCCAGTGACGAAGTATCGTTTGCTGTCGAGTGAGCCGTAGTTGGTTTGCTTGACAACTTGAATTGCAAATGTAATGTCGGTCGCAGACGGCGCTGTGTCGGATGACATGATGTCGCTTTCCTTGGGGTAGGTGGCCCACGCCATGAAGGTCTTGAACTTGGGTTCATGGGACAGAATGCGGTTCCTGTATCCCTGAGTGTTCGCACAACAGAAGATGGAAGACATGACTGGCAATATGAGTCTCGATCAGATTGTGGGTGAGTGTTTGCCCGTGGTGGAATGATGAGCTTCGCGAGAAACCTGTTGCATTTATGGTTGTGCAGTGTTCGATGAGGACCAATCAACGACATATATGCACACTTGAGGCCTACCGCCTGCGCTACTGATCTCTGACCCTTTGAGAGGAATTCTTTGACTTCATCTTGCATGAGCTTGGTCGCACTGAGCCTGAAACTACCTAGGTAACTTCTGGGTGAGCGATTTGGTTGCAGGTGGGTCTTGCGCGTCGACACATTCCTCTGAACACCTAGGATATTCAACATGAAGCCCCCATGTATGGAGCCTACTAGGTCTTCCATGTGGTCCGACTAGCGGCATTCCGTCACTGCGTACTTGTTGCTCATCCATGCTATCAAATGTGAGTGGATCTTGCTGTGACATGCTGCATACACGGTATTAAACCTTAAGAAGTGAGTAATCCCCAAGATCATGTATACTTTGAACTTTGTGGCTACAATGTAAAATGTGACACGGAGTGTAGTAACCCTGATGATACCTTGCGGAGACAGGGCTGTGATTCGCGAGAGAAAGGTGGGGTCGGGGATGTCCAACGGCGACCCCACTTCTACTGCATTGTCGCATGCATCAGAAAATCATCGATAGGCTCTGATCACTCGAGGCCTACCAAATTGTGTTTAGCTAATCAGCGCTCAGTCGGTCTGATTATCGAACATATAACTGCCCTCAACTCTTCAGTTCTTTTTGCTTTCTTTCCTCACCGTGGGGCCTGTGGCCGCCAGAGCGTCCATTCTTTTCCTGTTCCTTTCCATCTTCTCGCATCGCTCTTCTTCGTCTGTTCTGCCTCTCTGGGAGCCTGGAGCGTACCCTCGGAACACAGGAAAGCCACCGCTACACTCTCGTCGTAGCGTTTAATTTCCGGATCTAGAGCAAGCACCTTTCGAGACGAAGATTTACACGAACATCACCTTTTTATTGATCCGCGCTTGCTTGACCTTCGGGTAAACCCGACCTGTGTTCCGCCAGCGAACCAGCCTTCCCAGTACCCGCAAAGCGAAGAAGAGCAGCAACCACCCGAGACAGATGGACTCCCTCCTTTACCCGATTGCTTAGTATATTCCCCACGGCCACAACACTCTTTTCCACTATCGCGTAATGAATATGAAGCGGTATCGTCAACCTCGCATCAACCTCAGCCTTCTGCGGCCTTCCAAGAGCATCAAGCGGACCACACTTGCCAGACATGCGGACAAACATTTCGGCAGCCCTCCAAATTAAGGTGAGTGCAGGTTGAACTCAAAACCCTTTTCAATTACTAGCGCTGAGCTTTGATAGACTGCACTTGCGTACACACGAGACGTACAAATGTGAGCCTTGCGACGCATACTTTCGAGATAGCAAGGATGCCAAAAAGGATTTGGAGCGCCACAAGCAAACCAAGGCTCATCGAAGGAAACTTGGTCTACCGCTTGGTACATCGCAATTTGTGTGTCCGGTTGAATGGTGCGCAAAGAGTATGCCGCGCAGGGACAATTTGAACAGGCATATTAGATCTCAGCACCCAGACCGGGCACAATTGGAGTAGAAGTCAGCTGAGGGACAGAATCGAGACTTGGCAATACCTATGATGGTCTGACTAGCATGCGTTCAGCCTTCAATGTGATGTATCCGATGATGGCATCTCGTGAACCGGTCTCTCTAATGCGCTTTCAAGTTTGTCACATGCGCTGAACACTGCACAACTGAGAAACTAAAGGCTCAATTCGTCTATACTACACAAACTACAACTAAAGGGTATCGTCTCATCTAATCGTAAACACCTAGTTCTTGAGCACGTAACGGTACCTGGGAAGGCCCTTCTCGAAGTCAACGATGACATCGTTGGCCTCCGACATAGGCCTGACCTGAACCCAAGCCTTGAGGTTGGTCTTCTTAGCCAACTCCAACATGTCGCGGATGTGCTGCCTGGTACCGATCAAGCTACCAGCGATCTTCAAGTTCTTGAAGATGAGACCCATGGGGGAGAAAGAGGGCAATGGGTCGTCGGGGGCACCGAGCTGAACGAAAGTACCGTTGACGTCGAGGAGGTTGAGGTACTGGTCGAGAGGGAAACCGCCGGAGATGGTGGAGATGATGATGTCGAGGCCGGCGGCGTTCTTGTTCATCCAGTCGGGGTCCTCGCCGGTAGCGATGAACTTGTCAGCACCGAGCTCAAGAGCATCGGCCTTCTTGCTGGAGGAACGGGAGATGGCAACGACCTCGTCGCATCCGAGAGCCTTCGCGAAGAGGAGGGCGAAGTGACCGAGACCACCGATACCGACAACACCGACGCGCTTTCCTGGGCCGGCACCGTATGAGACGAGAGGGTTGTAGACAGTTACACCACCGCACATGAGGGGAGCGGCGAACTCTGAAGGAAGACCCTCGGGAATGGGGATGGCGAAAGCGGCAGGTCCACGCCAGTTCTTAGCGTAACCACCCATGGCCTTGTCACCAGTGCTGTACTTGGCGTTGTAGGTCATGACGAAGTTGTTGCAGTTGCTCTCCTGCTTGGTCTTGCAGGGCCTGCAGCCCTCGCAGCAGTCGCTCTGAGCACCAACACCGACGCGGTCACCGACCTTGAGGTCCTTGACATCGTCTCCTACGCGGGTGACCTTTCCGATGATCTCGTGACCGACGACGAGAGGGTAGTCTGAGGGGCCCCATCCGGAGCGGAGAGTGTGGATGTCGGAGCCGCAGACACCGCAGTGGCTGATCTCCATCTCGATGTCGGTAGACTCGAACTTCTTGGGGGTGTAGTCACCCCATTGCATGTTGCCATCGGCGGCGGAGGGGTCATGGGCGACCCATCCCTTGAAGTCTGGTGAGGAAGACATGATTGTTTGTTGACGTTACTGAATGGAGGGGAAGGGATGAATTGTTGTGAGAGACGTTAGGATGGTTTGATGAGATGCAGAATCTACTACTACTTCACGTCAGTCTTATACCTATACACGTTTTCTAGAAGTTTTCCAGCATTTGTAATACATCAACAGACGGTATGAGGTTGCCGTTTCGTTATCCTAGTGTTTTGCTCTTTCGCCGATCTACGCCGACGGCATCGGACCCACTTTGACGACGTTTTTGAGCCTCAAGCGGTACGTGCACAGCATATCCGTTAAACCCGCCCTCACCGGTCCGATAAGGGTATGGGTCTGAGGCGACAAGACTGCAAAACTCTCGGACGAGGCTCGCGGTGAAGACGTCAATCTGGGGCCAGTCCCGTAACGTGTATCATCGATCTGCCGCGACACGTGGAAAGCTCAAGGAGGAAGGTCTTTTGCGCAGCGCTAATCTAGCTCCCGTTGACGTGTCGGGATTTAGAATCGGTTCGAATCTTTCTATGCTTCTAGACCTAGTCGTGTTGTTATGTCAACATCTCAGATATATCCCTTTGCGTTGACCGCCAAGCTGAACACGCGCGCCATCTTCAACATACAACCCACCTCATGCCATTGTCTCATGCGCTTGGCCTAATGCTACCGGTTGTTATATCTCTCAGAAAGGGCCGGGGTTGTCATGCACAAGATCGTGTGACCGGAAGTTGCATCATAACAAGTTAGCATATCAAGAACCAATGGAAGTAATCGCAGATCTCGAGAAAAGACACTGCAGTCTTATTAGCGGGGAGACGTTCCTTCTCATCATGCAAGTTTCTCCTTTATCCAACCAAGACCTTTTTTCAGCACATGCTTCGCTTCTTCGTACTCTTGCCACTGAAGATTCACTTCGGCCCTTTTACGTTCAAGCGGTTCGCGGCCGGGTATCGAAAGCCTTGCGTCATAGGTTTCAGCGCCATCATCGAGTTTGATCTTGATGATGCGCTCCTCTTCGACGTGACCGCAAAGGAGATCCCATACATGTTTCGTCACTTTGTCGAGTAAGAGTGTCGGTTTGTTATCTTCGTATCGACAGACAAATGGCAGCTTGATGGAGAATCCGGAGGTGCGAGACCTCATCTCCAGGGGTAGTGT